GTCCATTAATACCATTTTAGCCGAAGTCCAAAGGGTTTCCAGAAACCCTAAACCCTAAACCCTAAACCCTAAACCCTAAACCCTACTTTCTAGACGGTAAACCCTGAACCCTCTACTCTATGCCCTAAACCCTAAACCCTTTACTCCAATCTCTCAAACCCTAAACCCTAAACCCTAAACCCTTAATCCTAAGCTTTAAGATATAAAGTTATCCGCTGAAGCTCAAACCCTAAACCCTAGGCTGGATTTGTCAGTTGTTAATTTGTGAACCCTAGGGTTTTGCAGCAGCTGCAGCAGCAGCTGATTGTGTCTTTTTGAAATAATTAAAAAAGAATTAAATGGATTTAATTATTTTTTAAAATAAAAAAGAAAAAAATAAAATCTGGAAGCAGCAAATCAAAAGAGACACAAAATCAAATTTCTACTTTTCTTCTTCCCTTTGCCATCCTGTTCTAGTTGCTGCTGCTGCTGCTGCAGCTGTTGCTGCTGCAGCTGCTGCTGCTGCAGCTGCTGCTGCTGCTGCTGCTGCAGCGGCGGTGGCCGCACTTTCGCCCGCAGCAGCAGCAGTAGCAACTGCAGCAGCAGCAGCAGCAGCAGCAGCAAACTGGTTTGCCTTGCTGCAGCTGCTGCCAGCAGCAAGAATAACAGCTCACAGCAAAACGTAAACCCTAAACCCTCATCTTGTCGAAAAACCCTCAAAAGCAGTTCAACAGCAACTGCCTAGGGTTTAGAATTTAGGGTTTAGGGTTTGGGGCTGCTTGCTTTGGATTGCGGCTGCACATCCTCACGCCTAGGGTTTAGGGTTTAGGGTTTAGGGTTTATGGGTTTAGTTTGGCAAAGCCGATAACTGCAGTGCGGCACTCTGCTGCTGCCAGCTGCAGCAGCAGCAGCAGTGCAGTAGCAGCTGCTGCTGCTGTTTGCTGCTGCTGCTGTCTCCAACTAGCTGCCTCTAGCCGCTGCTTGTTGCTGCTGCCAGCTGCTGCTGCTAATGGCTTCTAGTTTCTGCAGCAGCAGCAGCAGCAGCAGCAGCAGCAACAACGGCAAGCTATGCTCGCTGCAGCAGCAGCAGCAACAGCAAGCTATGTTTGATGCAGGAGTTGCAGCAGCAACGGCAAACTTGTTTGCATCCGCAGCAGCAGCAGCAGCAGCAGCAGCAGCAGCAGCAGCAACTGCGATCGCTGCAGCAGCAGCAAAACCAGCGAAGAGTTTCCGTGTTGTTTTCTGTCTCTTGCTCGAATTCGATTAATTTCAAAAGCATTTTAAAAGAAAAAGGAAAGACAGGGCAGCAAAAGAAGCAAACGCAGCAGCAGCAGCAGCAGCAGCAGCAGCAGCAGCAGCAGGGCTTTGTTGACCGGCGCAGCAGCAGGCCTGCTTGCGCCCAGCTGTCTGTACACCCTAATCGCCTTCACTTCTGCCACTTTTTCTCGTTTTACCTCTTAAGCATTCATTTAAATCTATTTGAAATTAGAAGACAGGAAAAGATGCTGCTGTTAGACGCAAACGGGGGCCCTGGGGGGGCCCCCGCTGCTGCTGCTGCTGCTGCTGCTGCTGCTGCTCGCTGGCTGCGGCGCTGCTGCTGCGCGTTGCGCGCGCTGCGGCCAGCTGCTTTGAATTGTTCTTTTTTAGTTTGAAGAATTCCATTTGATTTATTTTAAATACATTTCAGGGATTGCAGCCCCGGGAAGGCTCAGAGAGAGCAGCAGGCGCTGCTGCTGGACCGCCACCGACAGCAGCGGCACTGCAGCAGTGCTGCAGCAGCAGCAGCAGCAGCAGCAGCAGCAGCAGCACGTAACTTCCTAGTTTATCATTTATCATTCTTAGAACTCCGAATTTCACCTTTGTCTTCTCTCCGAAGAAGTCAGGAAGGGAAGGGGCGCCAGAAGGCAGCAGCAGCAGCAGCAGCAACGGAGGCAGCAGCAGCAGCGCCTGCAGCAGCAGCAGCAGCAGCAAGACTTCCACGCAGACAGACCTTGGCCCCACCCGCCGCTGCGTCTCCCCACTTCCTGCTCCAGGCAGCTCAGCTGTGGGGGGCCCTTCACCTCAGCAGCAGCAGCAGCAGCAGCAGCAGCAGCAGCAGCAGCAGCAGCAGCAGCAGCAGCAGCAGCAGCAGATGGACGGAAAGGCTGCGCGGGGCCCCAGCCCCTGCAACCAGTGCTGCGAGTGTTTGGCCCCAGTGCGCTGCATAATAGACCAGCACGAAGTGGAGATAATCCCCGCTTCAGCCCGCAGCAGCAGCAGCAGCAGCAGCAGCAGCAGCAGCAGCAGCAACAGGAACTTGCTGTACACCGCCAGGGGCGCCTCCAGCGGCGACTCCACCACGCGCACCTTCGGCAGCTCCTACAGGCAGCAGCAGCAGCAGCAGCGGCAGCAGCAGCAGCAGCAGCAGCAGCAGCAGCTCTCCAGCAGGGCCGCAGCCCCACTTCCGGGGGGCCCCCAGGGGGCCCCCGCAAGTCTCTTCTGGGGGGCCCCCCAACCCTCTGCTGCTTCTCCTTTGCCTTCTGTCTCTTTTGAGGGCCCCCTGAAAGACCCTGGGAGCTACCGCAGCGCTGCTGCTGCTGCTGCTGCTGCTGCTGCTGCTGCTGCTGCTGGCTTGGGCGGGGGCAGCAGCAGCAGCAGCAGCAGCAAACAAAGGCCCAGGGACTCTGCTGCCCCCAAAGTGCCCCTCATCAATCTGCAGCAAATGCAGCAGCACGAGGCCCCCCCCCCGGAGCTGCTGCTGGACAGCAGCAGAGGCCCAATATCTGCGGAGTCCAGTCCCTTCAAGCCTTGTCCCCCCACAGCAGCAGCAGCAGCAGCAGCAGCAGCAGGTGCTGCAGCAGCAGCATTAGCAGCAGGTGCTGCAGCAGCAGCACGTGCCGCTGCCGTGACAGGTGCTGCTGCAGCAGCAGGTGCTGCTGCTGCAACAGGTGCTGCTGCAGCAGCAGGAGATGCTGCTCCAGCAGGTGGTGCTGCTGCAGCAGGTGCTGCTGCTGCAGCAGCACCTGCTGCTGCTGCAGCAGGTGCTGCTGCTGCTGCAGCAGCTAACCTGCCAGGGAAAGGGCCCGGCGAGCAGCTGAGGGGCCCCCCTTTGTTGACTTTTTGCTTTTCTTCTTCTTTGTCTCCTTCGTCTCCTCCCAAGGAAAGTCCCGGGAGAAGGGCCCCCTGCAGCAGCAGCAGCAGCAGCAGCAGCGGCAGCAGCAGCAGCAGCCGCAGCAGCTGCAGCAGCTCCCCGCAGCACTGCAGCAGCGAAGCCGCAGGCCCACAAAAAGCAGCAGAGCAAGACCCCAGCAGCAGCAGCAGAAGCAGCAGCAGCAGAAGCAGCAGCAGCAGCAGCAGCAGAGGCAGCAGCAGCAGCAGCAGCAGCAGCAGCAACAGCAGCAGCATGGAAGGAGACAGTCCCTTCTCTGTCAGCAGCTCGGCCTTTTCCGCAGCTAAAAGCTGCCCCCATCCTCGCCCAGGGGCTTGGCTATCAGTTCACTTGGGGGGCCCCCCAGAGGGGCCCCCAGTAGCCCCCTCGGGGGCCCCCTCAAGGGCCCCCTCGGGGTCCCCCCAGAGGGCCCCCCAGGGGGCCCCCCAGGGGGCCCCCCAGGGGGCCCCCCAGGGTACGAAACTGGTGTCAGGGAGCAGGGGGGCCCCTGTCTCTGGGGGCCCCCCTTCAGGCGTTTGCTGCTCCCTCAACTTTGCTGCTGACAGCTTCCCTTTGTTGGGGTTGGATTTCTTATATGAGCAGCAGCAAGTGGGGGGCCCCTTGGGGGCCCCAGGGGCCCCCCAGGGGCCCCCCAGGGGCCCCTAGGGGCCCCCCAGGGGCCCCTAGGGGCCCCCAAGGGGCCCCTGGGGCCTCCCAGGGGCCCCTAGGGCCTTTCGAGCTCCTCTTTTGCTGCAGCCCTTTTATTTTGAAATGGGGATTTGCATTGCACGCGGGAAGTCAAGATGGGGCCTGCTGCTGCTGGAGGAAGCAGCAGCAGCAAGAGTAGCAGCAGCAGCAGCAGCAGCAGCAGCAGCAGCAGCAGCAGCAGGGTGGCGGTTTCAGCGGAGCCAGCTGCTGCCAGCGAGCCTTCAGGGGGGCCCCCCAGCCCCGACTGGGGGCCCCCATTTCAAGATTTGTGGAATTAAAAATAAAAAGAAAAAATAAAATAAATCTGCAGCAACTTCGAAACTGCTGCGGGGCCCTTGAGGGGCCCCCAGGTGACCCTGCGCAGACACCCCAGCCACTCTGCCAAAGTCTTGCGGGATATCTATCAATGCGGTTCACGAATTCACTGAGTCTTGCTGCAGCAGCAGCAGCAGCAGCTGCTGCTGCTGCTGCTGCTGCTGCTGCTGCAGCGTTTGTCTGTCAGTAGCTGCTATCGCCGCCATGTGCGAAGTTCTTTGTATCTGTTTTGTTGTTTGAAGATCGCCAACTCGATCAAATTGTTTTCCAAAGACAAAAGAAGTAAACTTAAAGTCTGCAGCGCAGCAGACAGCAGCAAACTCGTAGGCAGGCAAAGACTTAGCTGCAAACTCCAGCGGTGCAGCTGCGCGCTGAGGTCCACTGGTCACCTGCGGTTTCCTCTCGAAGGGGGGGCTTTTCTGTCTCGAAAAGTACCTTCTGAAATAAAAAGGAAGTATTTGATTTCTTCAGACTTGCAGCTGCTTTGCGCATGCAAGTTTGCGCTTGAAAGGAACGAAAAACGTGAACGAGGGTTCATGTTCAAGATTCTTCTCAGCACGAAGCGCCCAGTTGCTGCGCAGCTCCGGCAGCCATCTTTAGACCAATAAAAAGTACTTTTAATTCTGTGCAAGAGGCAAGAAAGGCGAAATTCGCAAATGAAAAGAAAGTGGCGCGCTCTAGACGTTCAGCTTTCGCGTGCAGATTGCCGGGAGCTGCATGTACACCCCAGCGCTCGGCAGTTCGGGCGAAAGTTTTTAGCGGAAAGCGCGGTTTAAAAAGGCGATCTCTTCGGCAAATTGAAAGCAAATATGTATTTCTTTGTAAAAATAAGGGAAATAGCTCAATTGGAGCAGCAGCAGCAGCAGAAAAAGAAGCACCTTTAGGCCTGCCAGGCCAGGGCTGTGGTCGGCGGTGCAGCCGAGGGCATTTCAAGTTCCCGCCCCGATCTCTCCCGCTGCCTTAATTTATGGACTTAAATGAAATATTTCAAAGTTGAAATTTGCGGATTTTGTCTTCGATTCGGGAGAAGTGCCCCCTCAGACTTGAAATGCCGAACTTGCAAACCAGCACCTGGCTCTAGCGGCCGCGTGCAGAAGCTCCCCGTGAGTCCATTAATTCGCATTTTTCCTCTTTTCAGACTTTCACAGAGTTTTGCTGCAGGTTTTATTTCGGACTTCGCCTCCAGAGGGCCCTGCAAGGTCCACTTTGCATGCAGCGGGGGCCCTGGGCCGGGGCCGCTCCGCAGCTGGCGAGAAGTCCGGCAGCTGAGGCTTTTCTGCTGCCGATGCTGCAGCAGCTGCCCGCTGCTGCTGCTGCTGCTGCTGCTGCTGCTGCTGCTTGAGCCTGCAGCACCGCAACACAACAACCCCACCAGTTTTTGCTGAGCCCCCCGCCATGGGTGGCGCCTGGGGGCGGGGCCCGATGCCGGCCCCGCCCGCAGACCCTCAGCAGCAGCAGCAGCAGCAGCAGCAGCAGCAGCAGCAGCAGCAGCAGCAAGTGCTTTATTTCTGCACAGAGATGCAGTGGGTCTCCCAGAAGGGGGAGATGGACTGCGGGCTTGCATGCGCTTTAATGATATTAAGGTGGGGCTTTTTCGAACTATCCCTTCAAGTGCATTTAATTTAATTTCAAACAAAGTCTCCTTTTCAAGTTGAGAAGCTGCTGCTGCTGCTGCTGCTGCTGCTGCTGCTGCTGCTGCTGCATTCAGGTCGCTGCATGCTTCGGGCTGCTGCCCCCAGCCCCCCTTTCTCTTGTCTCCTGCAGCAGCAGATTTGTCTCCCCGCAGCAGCACAGACAGCGACAGCAGCAGCTGCAGCTGCAGCAGCTGCAGCAGCTGCAGCAGCTGCAGCAGCAGCAGCAGCCCCGCCTCAAGGGGCCCCCGAAGGGGGCCCCCGAAGGGGCACCCGAAGGGGCCCCAGAGGGGGCCCCCAGCGGGCCTGGACAGTGCCGTGGGGGCCCCCTCATCGGGGGCCTCGGAGGCCAGCGAGCCTGCTGCAGCAGGAGACTCCCCGCCTGCTGCTGCTGCTGCTGCTGCTGCTGCTGCTGCTGCTGAGAGCGCAGCAGCAGGCGCTGCGGAGCCGCCCAGCTGCTGCTGCTGCAGCTGCGGGGGGGAGGGGGGCCCCCGGGGCCCCCGGGGGGCCCCCCGCTGCAGCGCGGAGAGGGGCCCCTTCGGGCCGCTGCTGAGGGGGGCCCCCCAGCCTGCATGCAGGCGGCAGGCGCTGCTGCTGCTGCAGCAGCTCGCCCGCGGGGGCTGGACTGTCGATTTGCTGCTGCTGCTGCAGCACTTGCCCTGCGGCTTCGCCACGCTCTGCACTGGAGTCGACCCCCGCCACGCAGACAAGGTGTCGAGACACCCCAAGCCCATGCATGCATGCATGCATGCGCGCATGCATGCATGCAAGTTTTCGAGCACTTGTTTGTGCATGTTTGCTGCTGAGGGCCTGCTGGGCCGTGGGGTGGGGTGTACGTACACCTGAAGGGCTGGGGTGCACGTACACCGGGAGGGCTGGGGTGTACGTACACCCGAAGGGCTGGGGTGTACGTACACCCGAAAGTGCCTCTTTTTGCGCCTTTTCAGCCCTTTTACAAATCCTTTTCCGACGCGCCTCAAGCCTTCGACAAAGAGGCCAAAAGAGTAGCAGCAAACTTCAAAAAAGCCCAAAAGATTGGACTTCAGATCCAGAAAAGGTAATTAAAATACTTCAAACCCGTCTGCGCGGCTCCCCGGGGCCCCCTGAGGGCCCCTGGGGCCCCTCAACGGCCCCGTCGGCTCTTCTTGGGGCCCCCAGGGGCCCCCTAGGGGCCCTGCGGGCTCACGAAGCGGCCAACTCGGGGGCCCCGAAGGGGCCCCTAGGGGCCCCCAAGGGGCCCCGAAGGGGCCCCCTCAGGGCTGTTTAAAAGGGCTCCCTAGGGGCCCCCTAGGGGCCCCTAGGGGCTCTTCAGAAGCTCCTCAACGGCCACCCTAAGGGGCCCCCCGTTGGGCCTGAAAAGGCGGCTGAGGGCCGAGGGGGCCCCCGCGTTGACTTGAGGGTTTAGAAGGGGTTTAAGAAGTGTTTTAAAGAAGTGTTTTGAAGTATTTTTTGTTTCTTTTTGCTTCTCAGAAGAGTCTCGAGGGCCCAACTGGCCCACGAGCTGCTGCAGGGAAGAGTGGCTGTTGTGCTGCTGGACGGGGGCCGTTTGGGGGCGCGGGAGCTGCGCGCAGTGCCCCGCACCCAGTACGATGGTAAACCCTAAACCCTAAACCCTAAACCCTAAACCCTAAACCCTAGAGAGGCAGGCAGCCCGCCTCCGGCCTGCCCAGGCGCCTCCTTGCGCCCTCAAGACGGGGCGCATGCGCGGGGGGCTGCGGCTGCGGTCTAGACGAACTCCATTAGGGTTTAGGGTTTAGGGTTTAGGGTTTAGGGTTTAGGGTTTAGGGTTTAGGGTTTGTGGCAGTGGATGCTGACCGGGTTTGGACTGGTTCCTAGTGCGGCCATTTTCTGGGCATAAGGCTTGTGCTTTGGCGCTTAGTGCTCAGATTTTAGGGTTTAGGGTTTAGGGTTTAGGGTTTAGGGTTTAGGGTTTAGGGTTTGGGTTGGCGAGAGTAAGGCAGCGGCTGCTGCGTGTTCTCCTCAGGCCACTTTGTGCTGGTGTGTGGAGTGGCCCTGTCTCTTTCTGCTGCTGCTGCTGCAGCTCTCTTACAGCAGCAGCAGCAGCAGCAGCAGCAGGAGGGAGGTGCTGCTGCTGCTGCTGCTGCTGCCGCTGCAGCTGCTGCAGCTTCTCCCACCGGCCCTCCAAAGCGCCCGCGACCCTCGCCGTCCACGCCGTCCCCAGCAGCAGCACCAGCAGCAGCAGCAGCAGCTGCTGCTGCTGCTGCTGCTGCTGCTGCTGTGTCTCCTGAGTCAGTTAAATATCTTTTTCAAGAAGGAGTGAGGCCTTGTCAAGTTTTGTCTTTTCTTTTAAGAGACCCTTTGCGTCCCCAGGCCTTCTGGATAGCCCCAGAGCGCCTCGATGCATGCAGAGACGCAGACGGTAGGCCAAACCCTAAACCCTAAACCCTAAACCCTAGACCCTAAACCCTCGCGGCGCCGCAAACCCTAAAAGCGCCTTCATGCGCTCTCCGAACAAATCTCTAGTGCTAGGGAGGGCCTTTTGCAAACCCTAAACCCCCAGTTGTCCCTCTAAACCCTAAACCCCCACGCACTCAGCTGCTTCGTGCTAAACCCTAAACCCTAGCGTGTCAGACAAACCCTAAGCCCCCAGTTGCCCCTCTAAACCCTAAACCCTAAATCCCCACGCACTCAAACGCGTCTTGCTAAACCCTAGACCCTAGCGTGTCAGTTTTTGGCTGTGCCGGTGCTGCTGCTGGAGCGAGGGTTTAGGGTTTAGGGTTTAGGGTTTGGGGGCCTGATTAGGGTTTGTCTGCTGCTGCAAAATGCAAAAGAAATCTTTTTAAAAATAAACTTGAAAACCCTTTTTTGTGTTTTCAGGAACAGACAATGATTTGCTTGTTGCCCAAATGCCCCAAACCCTACACAGAGCTTGGCTAGCAGGGGGCCCCCCAACTGCCTACAAAGGGGGGCCCCCCAAGGTCTTCTAGGGGCCCCCAACTGCCTACAAAGGGGGGCCCCCCAAGGTCTTGTAGGGGCCCCCAACTGCCTAAAAGGGGGGCCCCCCAAGGCCTTCTAGGGGCCCCCAACTGCCTAAAAGGGGGGCCCCCCAAGGCCTTCTAGGGGCCCCCAGTATAAAGGGGGGCCCCCAAGGTCTTCTGGGGGCCCCCAACTGCCTATAAAGGGGGGCCCCCAAGGTCTTCTGGGGGTCCCCAACTGCACGAAAAGGGGGGGCCCCTAAGCTTTTGTAGGGGCCCCCAACTGCCCCTAAGGGGGGCCCCCCAAGGTCTTTTAGGGGCCCCCAACAGCCCATAAAGGGGGCCCCCCAAGGTCTTTTAGGGGCCCCCATCTGGGGGGCCCCCCAAGGTCTTTTGGGGCCCTCTGGGGCAGTCAAGAAAGGGGCCCCCTGAAGGTGGCCCCTTACTTGGGGGCCCCTACAGCGTAGTAAAGGACCCTTATAAAAGGGCCCCCTTGGGGCCCCTTGGGGCCCCAAGGGGCCCCATTGGGGCCCCCTTGGGGGGCCCCCTTGAGGCCTCTTGGGGCCCCCTTGGGGCCTCTTGGGGGCCCCCTTTTACCGCAGTGTAAGCAGAAGCTTCAAAAGAGGGCCTCTGGGGCCCCTTGGTGACGCTGGGGGGCCCCCGGGGGCCTCCGGGGGCCCCTGGGGGCCCCCAGAGGCCCCTGGGGGCCCCCGGGGGCCTCCAGGGCCCCTGGGGGCCCCCCGGGGCCCCTGGGGGCCCTCAAGGGCCTCTGGGGCCCCTGGGGGCCCCTGTTTATGACTTCATTTGTTTGTGAATTGGGTTTTGTTTTGGTTTGGATTAGATTTAGAAATGAAATGAAATAAACTTCTGTTTTTTTTTATTTGACTGTTCTTGGGTGCTCTGCGTAGTCGCTATCTAGGGTTTAGGGTTTAGGGTTTAGCCCATCTAGGGTTTGGGGTTTAGCCCATCTAGGGTTTAGGGTTTAGGGTTTCGGCATTCTAGGGTTTAGGATTTAGGATTTTGAATCCCAGGTGAACAGATCCAGACAGAGAAGTCAAAGCAGGGCCAGCTGGCAAACCCCCTCTAGTTTCCCCAATTTAGGGTTTAGGGTTTAGGGTTTAGGGTTTAGGGTTTAGGGTTTGGGATGGGGCCTTCTAGAGGCAAAGGTGCTTGGTAGCACGGCAAGGTGGAAGCAGCAAGCAGCGCCACTTCCTTGGCCGTAAACCCTAAACCCTAAACCCTAAACTCTAAACCCTAAACCCTAAACCCTCACAAATAAGTTCCAACATTTATTTTTGTCTTCCTTTTTATTTGTGTTTTCTCTCATTCTGCATCGCAGCATTTAATGAACCACTTTTGCAAGTAGGGTTTAGGGTTTAGGGTTTAGAAGCACATTTAATGTACCAGTTCTGCAATTAGGGTTTAGGGTTTAGGGTTTAGAAGCCCACATGAGGGTTTAGCGAAGCCCCTTGGGAAGATAAGTGCAGCAGCAGCCTTGACTTCTGCAAGATAGTTTACTAAGGCGTTTGTATGTAACCCCAGCTGCTGCTGCTGCTGCTGCTGCTGCTGCTGCTGCTGCTGCTGCTGCTGCTGCTGCTGCTGCTGCAGTTGCTGCTGCTGCTGCTGCTGCTGCTGCTGCTGCTGAGTCCTCTCCTCTGCAGCTTTATTACTTCTAGAAACCCCTTTGCTGCAGCTTTTATTTGCCTCCCAAATGCTGCTTCAGAACTAATTAAATATCTGTGCCTTATTTTGCTTAGGGGCCCCCCTGGGGCCCCCCAGGGGCCCCCAGGGGCCCCC